TTGGGCGATCTTTGGGGCTTTTTGGGCCGTCTCGGGCCAGCTTCGAGCCAACTTCGGCCATCTTGGTGGGTTCCTGGCACGTCTGAAGCCGTCGGAAGCCGTTTGGGGGGCCTCTATGGGCCGACTTGGGGCCCGCTTGGAATGCTCCAGGGCCGTCTTGGAGGCCATCTTGGGCGTCTTGGAGGCCATCTTGGGCGTGTTGGAGGCCTCTTGGGCCCTCTTGGGGCCCTCTAGGGGCCATCTTGGAGGCCACTTGGGCCATCATGGGGCTCTCTTGGGGGCCTCTTGGGCGATCTTGGGGGCTTCTTGGGCCGTCTTGAGCCGTCGGAGAGCCGAAAAGGCGCAAATGCCAAAATCCTTCAAAAACCAAGGGAAAATCAATGATTTTGGCCTCTTCGGACTCTCCTGGAGGACCTCTTGGAGGCCTCTTGGGCCGTCTGGGAGGCCTCTGGGGGGCCTCTTGGGCCGTCTTGGGCCGTCTTGGACCTCTTGGGCCGTCTTGGAGGCCATCTTGGACCATCTCGGGCTGGAGGCCATCTTGGGCCATCTTCGCGATTTTTTGAGGATGTCCCGAGCGAAACGGCCGTTCTTGGAGGATTTTTTGCGGTCGTTGAGCACGTTTGGGGAAATTCCGGGTGGCCGGCGGGTTCTGCCGGAGCCCACTGGGAAGTCCGCCGCCCCCTGCTTGCAGGGGTGCACGGCGTGCTGGATGAGCTGTTAGGTTTTGGTTTTGGTTCTTTTTCCAAAAGAACTCCCCAGTGGGCTCCGGCAGAACCCGCCGGCCACCCGGAAAATCCCCAAACGTGCTCAACGACCGCAAAAAATCCTCCAAAAAACGGCCGTTTCGCTCGGGACATCCTCAAAAAATCGCGAAGATGGCCCAAGATGGCCTCCAAGTCCGCCCGAGATGGTCCAAGACGGCCTCCAAACGGCCCAAGAGAGTCCAAGACGGCCCAAGACGGCCCAAGAGGCCCCCCAGAGGCCTCCCAGACGGCCCAAGAGGCCTCCAAGAGGTCCTCCAGGAGAGTCCGAAGAGGCCAAAATCATTGATTTTTCCTTGGTTTTTGAAGGATTCTGGCATTTGCGCCTTTTCGGCTCTCCGACGGCTCGAGACGGCCCAAGAAGCCCCCAAGATCGCCCAAGAGGCCCCCAAGAGAGCCCCATGATGGCCCAAGTGGCCTCCAAGATGGCCCCTAGAGGGCCCCAAGAGGGCCCAAGAGGCCTCCAACACGCCCAAGATGGCCTCCAAGACGCCCAAGATGGCCTCCAAGACGGCCCTGGAGCGCCCCAAGAGGGTCCCCCGTTGGCCCAGAAAGGCCCCCAAAACGGCTCCCGACGGCGTCAGACGTGCCAGGAACCCACCAAGATGGCCGAAGTTGGCTCGAAGCTGGCCCAAAAGGGCCCAAGAGGCCCCCAAGAGGGCCTCCAGGAAGGCCAAAAGATGCCAAAATCACTGATTTTCCAAGGTTTTTGATGGATTTGGGCATTTCCCTTTTTTCGGCCTTCCGACGGCCCGAGACGGCCCAAGAGCCCCCAAAGATCGCCGAAAGATCGCCCAAGAGGCCTCCAAGACGGCGACGATGACCATCAAGACGCCCACGTGTTCCCCGAAGGCTTTCCAAACCGATTCGGGGAACACATGGTCCGATGGCTTGGCAGGTCTGGCCTCAACGTTCGGCCACATAGGCGCTTCCACAAAGGCAGGGGGCGGCGGTGATTCGCCGTAGGCGTCTTCGATTCTTTTGGAAAAAGAACCAAAACCAAAACCTGAAACGTCCAGCACGCCGTGCACCCCTGCAAGCAGGGGGCGGCGGATCCTAGTGGCCTTCTGCCCATCCCGCCACCGTGCCTGGGTTGTGGGTCTGAGGCCTCTTGTATATGTGTTGGGTTGTCATGGGGAGCCTCTCAGGTGCCTCTTGGAGGCGGGTTGGGCGCCTCTTGGGGGCCTCTTGGGGCCTCGTGGGGTATCTTCTGGGCTTCTTGGAGGCCTCTTGGGCGCCTCTTTGGGCCTCTTGTAAGAGATCGTGGCCTTGGGAGCGCGAATGCGGCGCGATTTACAATGGATCGTGGCTTCGGGGGCGCGAACATGGCGTAGTTTACATGGGATCGTGGCCTCGGGGGCACGAGCGTGGTGTAATTTACTGGAGGTCATGGCCTCGGGGGCGCGAGCATGGTGTAATTTACATGGGCTCGTAGCCTCGGGGGCGCGACCGTGGCGTAATTTACATGGAATCGTGGCCCCAGAGGCGAACATAGCATAATTTACCGGGGATCGTGGCCTCAGGAGCGTGAATATGGTGCATTTGACGAGAAACCTTGGCTTCGGGGACGCGAATACAATGCAATTTACAAGGATCTTGGCCACGGGGGCGCGAATAGAGTTTAACCTGCTAGGGATTAGTGCGTCGGGAGCGCGAATCTCACGTATTTCTACGTGTCCCACGGCCCCCCGAAATCCAGCGATTCGGGAACGCTATCCAGGGCCCTTTTCGGCTCCCCCCCCTCGCGCGGACAGTAACAACTTACAATAAGATGCGGAAAGCAGTCATGTAACATTGGAAACTAGAAACTGGAACTGGCGCAGGGAGCAGCAAGCCTAATCCCGGTAGCCTGATGGCCCCGCAAGGGGGCTGGCGGATCTGGTTCACACGCCCGCCCCGTCAGACATGGAAAGATGGGGGAGGAAGGGCCGCCTTGATTACGGCTGATCCGGAGATTTGGAGACTCCCGCTCTTGAGTTTCCACCATATTTCTCGACAGCAGCGCCGACAGAGGCCATGCGACGGGCGGGGACACTGGGGCTTGCAACGCGTACTCAGGGTCTCCTTCCTCCACAAGTGGGAGGGTAAGTGAGCGAGCGCGTGCAAGAGAGAGAGAGAGGGAGATGCACAATAAAGAGAGAAAGAGAGGGAGAGAGAGAGAGAGAGAGAACAAAACAAAAAAAAAAAACGAGGAAGAGAGAGAGGGAGAGAGCGAAACATAGAGACAGAGGGAAAGAGACAAAGAGCGGGGAGAGAGAGAGGGGGGGCGGAGAAAGAGAGAGAGGGGGGGAAGGGGAATAAGAGATATAGAAAGAGACAGAGGGGGATAGAGAGAGACAAGAAAAGCAAGGGGATGGAGAAAGAGAGAGAAAAAAAAGGCAAACAAAAAAGAAGGAGAGAGAGAGAGACAAGAAAACAACACAAACAACACATATAAACAAAAGAGAGAGAGGGGGGGGGAGAAATAGAGAGAGGGAGGGAAAAGAGAGAGAAAGAGAGAGAGAGAGAGAGAAAGAGACCATCGGCATCTGAGGCCGAGGCCGAGGCTGAGGCCATCGCTATTGACGAAGGTGTCCAAGCGCTGGCGCCTGTCACCTCGCAGGGCGCGCGTCCGTCAGGGTCCTGATTTAGATTGCGGTAGCCGAAACGGCCTTATATAGAGAAAAAGACAGACAGGCAGACACGCAGACATATGGTCTTCGACTGACAGTAGCTGACGGACACACCGACAGACAGGCAAGCAGGGAAAGTCCAGAAATACCCAGAGATGAACAGAGAGTATACGGACTCATTCAGAGACGGTGGTCGCAGTATCCGAGGCAAGGTAGACGATCGCGGGGATGAACCCGATTGCGACGAGCGCTGCTCTGCCTTCTCTTGCTGCGCGCTGGCGCTCTTCTGCCTTCCCCGTCGCGATGCGAGCCACGGGCCTGTGCTTACGCCCCGGACGCTTTCGAGGAGTCCCATGCTGTTCCGTCTCCAGAGGCTTCTGGAGGTCCCTGGAGATCTCCGACGTGCGGGTGCCCAGGAGAGGGTCGAGAGGGAGCAACATCTCGACTTCAATCTTCCATCTGGTAGTCACAGGATGCTTGCCAGCCCAGGGGCCCGAAGCAGTGCGGTTCTGCGACTTTTGCATGTGCAAGTTGCGCGTGGTGGAAGCAGCAAGGGGCAGAGGTGTGTGGGCGGAATCTGTGTGGTGCAAGCGATGTGCTCAAAGCGGTGGGATGGCAGCGGCGGGGTGCCGGCGATGCGGTGCAGCCCGGGTGGCGCACTCCGTCTGGTCCGGGCCGTGTGGTGCAGTCCCCTGTGGTGCCCACGGGGCGCCCACGGGCGGCCACGGGCGGCGGCGGGGCGAAACCGGGGGGCCGCCGGTCAACGCCCGAGGCGCCCACGGGCGGCCACAGACGGCGAGTGGATGGAAACCCGTGAAGCGCAGCGGCCAATGGCCAGGAGCATGAGGAAACAAAACTTCAGAATGTGCAAGCTCTGTTGGGGGAAAGTTCTGATCGACCCTCCCCGCCTAGGGCACAGGGCACATATCCAAAGGCAGACTTGGCGTTCACCCGCAAGGCCCCTCAGAGCTCGCGGAGACCAATTTCATACCAGAGAAAACAATGCTTGGCACCAGGAGTGCACGAGCGGTCGCTTGCCCAGACATCCGGCGTTCTGTGTTTTTGTCACAACGTGGCTCCCCAGATTTCTGGAGCCCTTCCCAGCTAGCGTCTCGTCCCGAGTCTTTTCTGCGTGCGACCCTCGAGCCCGGCTAGGGCTTTCAAGGTCCGGGAATTGCAAGACAAAAACAGTAGTCGTGATTGTGTTGCACGACGTAAGGAGGAATTGCTGATGCATGTCGAACTGTTGCTCGACTTGATTTCGAGACCTAACGCAGCTGCAGAGTCCTGCGGCAGTGACAATGGATCAACTGACCAGGCGAGCTCGTCTGCAACCTCGAGGGCGCTGAGATCGGTGCAACGCCAGCTACAGCGCAGGTGCAGCAAGAGAAGCCCCGAGAGCTCTCGAGGAGGTCGGGGGTGTGGTTGCTTCATGGCTCCTCCGCCTCGTCCCGAGCGACACCCCCCCCCCTGACGTCGTCGTTGTCGTCGTCGTCGTCGTCGTCGTCGTCGTCGTCGTCGTCGTCGTCGTCGTCGTCGTCGATGTCTCGCCCCCTGACGTCGTCGTTGTCGTCGTCGTCGTCGTTGTCGTCGTCGTCGATGTCTGGCCTCCGTGCGCTGGCAGCAGGCGGCCGAGCGCGACGTGACGTCTGCCATGGAGGAGCTGCCCCTGCCGCGCGCCGGCGGCGCGAGGGGCCCCGGCTGCCCCGGCCCCCCTCCTCGCCTCGGGGCTCAAGAGACGGGGGCGGAAAAGAGGGGGGTGATGACTAGGGGGGGGGGGGATATCATGGCGGGGGTCATGATATCTCCCCAGATTTCGTGGCGCCTCTTCTTATTTCATTACGTCCCTGGCCCCCCCGCTGGGCCGCGCACATGCCGCCGGTCATGATTTGCACCCCCCCCTCTTGGACACCCCCCTCTTGGCCGCTCCCGGGCTCAAGAGACGGGGGTCGATGCGCACGGGGGTCAGTCAGAGCGCCGGATTTTGCCGGATCCTGCAGGGCCAGGCGCGCATTGGCCCAGGCTTGGGTGCAGGATCCTGCAGGATCCTGCAAGGCCCGACTGACCCGGGTTTGGATTGACCCAGGTCAGTAGATCCCCGATCGCCACGAGGGGCGTCCCTGTCTCCAGGCCTCCCAAGTGTCATCGAGAGTTCAAGCGCCCCTAACCCCTAGAATAACACAATGAAGGCTTGGTCGAACTTAGGCCCCCGACTTTGCCCCGGGGATGACCAATCGGGGTGGCTCGATCTGATACATCTGCTGGAAAGACCCCTTATCCCTGATGCTTCGGGACTCTTCACTTAGGTCCGCTTCCAAAGGGTTAGGGGCCCTTCAATTCATAATCAAAGTGGGGTCCGAGCAGATAGGGTCGTAGCATCGCGCCGCATCGCCGATGCATCGCCGATGCATCGCCGATGCGGCTCGATGTGGAGCCCGATTTTCTCCGCACCCGGGTCGTCGATGCATTGCCAGCGTCGACGATGCATCGCCGACGTATTGGCGATGCGGCGCGATTCTCCGGCCCCATCTACTCGGATCCCATCTAGGGTGCCTTGAGTCCCTGCCATCATCGCGTCGTGAAAAAAAACGACGGCTGCCCGGCCACCACAGTATGAAATGTTGGCGTGCCGCTCGGGATCGCCCCGCCCGCCTTGCCACGAGTACTGTGACATTCAGGAGAGGAAAAAACACACAGACAAAATTAATCCTCGATTCCCCAGAAAATATGGGAAAATATGGGAAGTGGGGGGGAAGACAACAACCCAGAAAATATATGGAAATATGGGGGATATTTTTATTTGTGTGTATTTATTTGTGTGTTCCAGTTCCCCTTCAGACATGTTCGGCCACTCGACAGTCATGGTGCTTCCCTGTCTCGTGTCGAGTGCCTGCGCGGGGGCTTCCCCGTCGAAGGCAGATCTATTCACAGTGCTCGATGTGTCTGCAGTTGACGTGATGCGTGCGTCACCGGGGATCCGTGGGCGTCGTGGAGAGAAGAGTGTTCGGCCCTTCGGGGGGCCCTGACCGGGCTCCGGGGCCGTCAGAAACGGCTCGGGATGAGAAGCCGCTTCCAAGGAAGGGTCGGGGCTGGACAGAACCCCCAACAGTGACACGTCGATTAGTGAATTGTCCGTTTTCGGCTTTCGAGAGGGCGCCGTGGCCGTTATTTTCCAGGCTTGCGCCCGCCAGGTTTGGGCCCGAGGTCGTTTTCACTAAACCACGTTTTGCTAAAGGGGGTTCTGTCCATCCCCGAAAGGGGTCTGGAGCTCTGGGGAGCCACGTTCTGGAAAACGAAAAGCACGACGTCGGGTGCGTGGGGTTCCTGAGAGGGCCTCGCCTTCGAGGGTTCGAGGGCGTGACATCCCTTCTCCGACCGACGGACGGCGGAAGATCCAGCCCCAGCCGATGTTGTTCTTCGAATGGGAGCAGGGCTCCGAAGCCAGTCCTCGAGGAGAGGGGTGTTGGGGGGGGGGGGGGGGCCTGAATGTTTCTGCCATGTCAGGAGCGAAGGAAGGACGTACATGTACATGAATCCACGCTGGTTTCGAGAGCACGCATTTCACAAATGTTCGTATAACGCGGCCAATCTCGCGAATCGAGGGGCCGTGTTCATGTACATAGCTGGGCGCGTACGTCCTTTGTGGGCTCCCTAGCCATGTTCAGTCTCTCGGAGCCCTTCCAGGGCCCCAGGACCGTCCACAGCACGGCGCAGTGGCGGAAAGATCGCTCGGTGGGCGGGCCCCAGGGAGAGATTCGCCCCCAAGGGGGGGAAACACCGATCGCGAACGCCCATTCGTCGCCGATCGGCCTCACCTTTCCTGTGAACACCCGTTTTGCTGTGGGGTCTTATCCCCGAACTGTCAGCTACGAAAGTATGCTTCCAGGTCGAATGCTCCCTCGCCTTAGCCAGTCCCCCCGCCACCCCCACTTTCGACTCTCCTCGATGTCTGCACCACCCTCTGAGTCTGGCCGCTCCAGCAGGGCACGGGCCGACTGACCCCTCAGGGTTGTGTGCATTCCTCATCCGCCTTGCGGGGGGGTGGGGGGCATCTGCTACGAGCCCTCGCGCGGTCTAACCTCCCTCGCCCACTCGTCCCCCAGGCTGCTGCCAGCATGTCGCCCAGGCCCGTCTCTGGCGGTCTCTCGGCTGTGGTTTCTACATGGTTTCACTGGCGTTCCGCATCTACGTGTTCCCAGTTGCCACGTTCCTCTTGCAACTCGACATCCTGCCCGCGAAACGGGACGCTTACGAGACACGTGATTGTGCTGTTCTGTTCCCTGGTCCCCGTGATTGGGCGCCTCCAGATGTGTTGCGGAGTCTGCAGTCCATCGGCTTTGCGGCGGAGCTGACGGACGCCCGCAGCACTTCCACGGCAGCCAAGCGCAGAGTGCACCATTGGGAGAACCACGCGCACGGAGGGCTCTTCATCCGGCGTCGGGAGCGGCATTTGCGCACTCTCATCCAGGACTCCCCCGCACATCCTCCGCAAGGCGACGTGGAGCCCATGGTACGAATCCAACGTCTTGACCAACCTCCAGGCCGCCAGCGACAAGCTGTACTCGAAAGCGCGCCATGCCGGCGTGTCGGTCGAGAATGAGCTCTAGGGAGGCGCTCGTGAGCCGGACTTCGGGAGCGCTGGCAAAAGAAATGCGCATTGATTTTTCGTCTTCCACAACCAGATTGCGTACATCGACACCTGCACCGCTGCCTGGAGTTCGCTACATATTCTTCCACGTCGTCGCGTGGACAGGGTGGTTGCCATGCTGAGCGAGCTGGCGCGGTTAGTGCCACCTCGTGTTTGGGCTTGCGTTGTTCGAGCGCTTTGCAATGGGTGGACGGCAGGTAACCGCATGCAGCGCAGGACACCTTCCATCTTCGGGTGTGTTGCTGGCGAGGGCAGTCTCGAGCACTACAGTTTTTGTTGCCAGGTCGCTACGTTCGACAGGCGACGCTTCGGCCTGGCCCAACCGCGACCCGCAGAGCGCCTCTCTTCTTTCCGTCTCTTCTCCCAGGTTTGTTCAGAGCGCACTTCCAATGAGCTCGCGCGACGAGCGCTCGCAGTTTACAGCGTCTACTCGGCAGCAAATGCCGCGCGCCAAGGTTTGACATCGAACGTCAACGAGGCCATGGCAAAATTTGCGCGCGAGGCCTGCGCGGCACATGCTGGTCTTGCAAGTATGGCAGCATTTTTTTGGCAAAGCTACCCCCCCTCCCCTCTCTCCTGTTCCTCCTGTCCCCCGGCCCTCTCGGCCCTTCCTCCCTGACTCCACCCGGCCATGGCCAGACAACCACAAGGGTTGCAGGCCGGACGATTTGGTAGTCTTTTGGTGTATTTCCTTGGGCGATGATATTGAACGTCTGTGCCCGGCCGCCGTCTCTTCTCCGCGGATGTCCTGTTAGAAATTTGGGCGTATGTTCTATCGTTGTGATTGCCACTCCGCAGTGTATCCCTTACTCCCGCTTTTCCTCCAGACTGCCGTTGTGCGTTTTCGTCTTAGTGGCCGTTTGGGCCACGAGGGTTAGCCGCACAGCGCGCTTTTCCCTTTCCTCCTCCTCCTCCTCCTCCTCCTCCTCCTCCACCTCCTCCTCCTCCTCCTCCTTTTCCTGCTCCGCTGCCCATTTCTCATTTTGTCATTCAGTACTTGGCCGGATGTTAAGTTTACGTGGCCACTCCTGGAGTTTGGTCTCCCATCTCGGCTGGAAGGGCAAAGCAACGCAATCACATGTGTTGCCGCATTTGTGTGGTTGTGGCATGGCAGGAGACCCGTTGCGGAGCATGTACCGGGGCACGCTTCGCGTACACGAACCGTTGGGCACGATATGTTTGGTCTCCCTTCCCCAGACCAGGTAGAACGGGAGCCCAGTGTTGTTGTCCATGGTGTCGCGTCGCGTCGTGGTGAACAACAAACAACAGAATGTGCGGAGGAGGGGGAGGAGGACGAGGAGGAAGACCGCCTCCACCTCCTTCTTCTCCTCCTCCTCGCGGATCGAAGGCTGGGAGGCTTCCGTGGCCCGGAAGCAGCCAGAAGCGCCCAGAGCCTCGCCCAGGAAGCTCCCTCCCCGATCCTGGGGGGCAGGGAGGTCCACAGCCGCAGGAGGAGGGGGGGCCGAGGAGGCGCGGCGAGCACCCCGGTGCAAGCACCCCTGGGACCGGACTCCGCGGAGTGCCGCCGGGGCTGCAGCCTGCCCAGAGCACGGGCGCAGGCTGCAGCCCCCATCTGTGCACGTTGCTCATTCCTAACTCTTCGAGGGTTCTTTGATTCTTTTTGGGGGCAAGGTCTTTTCGTTTCTGATTGTTCTATCCTGGGCCTCTTCCTGGCCACTAGGGGGCCAGGAACAATTAGAAGCGAGCACAATTAGAAATGAGCACGATGAGAAATGAACGACGTGTACCTTCTTGTTTCCCGCATCTGGTCCTCCTCCTGTCGTTCGGCCGTGGCCTGCTTTCTCCCCTGCCTGCTTCGCCATGGGGGAAGCGGGTCCTGAGAAAAACGGGGCCGAGGTTTTTCGCTGTTTTCGGGCTTTCGGGGCCCTCCACGGGCCCCGGGACGGTCATAAAACAATTCAGGATGAAGACCTCATGCTAGGGGAAGGCCCTAGGGTCCAGGACCCGTTTCCCTCAGGACCCGTTTCCCCCCTATGCTAATTGCTTGGTGTCTGCCCCCACTCCCCACCATTCTTGGCGATGGCTGGGGGGGGAGGCCGTCCAATAGCGCCTATCTTCGGACAGAACCGCCGCCTTCCCTGACGTCCGCCGACCTGATTTTGCTCAGCCCGACCGCTTCCCCCGGGGTAGTTCGTTGCCCCAGATCAGTCGTTGATGGCCCCAGGGCTCGATAGCGGGCCCCAGTGGCCGCAATCCATCAACAGAAATGCCAGGTCAAAACAAGCTGGCGTCGGAGCTCTGGGATCGTAGATCGCAGGAGGCGTGGACCGCCCGACGCTCTCGGCCGGGCCCCAGGGCCGTCGGGCGCCCGTCGGCCCCCCGCTGGGGCAGCCAGGAGTACCAGATGCACGAGCGGGTGCACATGCAGACCCTCTCGGAGTGGGTGGAGGAGTTCCCTCGCCTCAGCCGCCGCGGCTCGGCACCGCCCCACCGATCCCCATCCCCACTGGGCCATGGCATCTGAGCCCCACCGGCCCCCCCCCTCCCCTCCCCCCAGGTGGGGAGGCGGGGGCAGGCCCCGCGGAGCCCCCCGGAGGGAGCGGCCGGTGTCCCCGCCCATGGGGGGGGCGAAGTCGGCGAGGGGGGCCGAGGCCGTGCCAGTGGAGGCGGGAGTCGGTTGCACGATGCTCGGTGGGATCCTGGAGGAGGAGGAGGAGGAGGAGGAGGAGGAGGAGGAGGAGGAGGAGGAGGAGGAGGAGGAGGGAGGAGGAGGAGGGGGAGGAGGAGGAGGAGGAGGAGGGAGGAGGAGGAGGAGGAGGAGGAGGAGGAGGAGGAGGAGGAACGTACATGTACATGAATCCTCGCTGGTTTCGAGAGTGCACACTGCGCAGATGTCCGTATCACGCGGCCGGTCTCACGGATCGAGGGGCCGTGTTCATGCACACAGCTGGGCGCGTACGTCCTCTGTGGGCTCCCTACGGGTCCGCGGACGCTGTCGCCGTTCCCCAGCGTGCTCGCGCCATGGGCGATGGCGACGGGAGGTTCTTGGCAAGTTGCGGCCGGGTGCCTCCACCGGGCCCCGGGGCCGCCAAGAGAACGGCTCGGATGAGCAGCTGATCCCGGGAAGGGGTCTGGACCGTTCGGGAGCAACGTGGTGAAAAAGAGGCACGACGCGGCACGAGCGAAATTGGCACGGCAGGCATGGGCACAAAGGCCGACAGCAGCTCCTGTTCCGCTTTGACCAGGACTCGCTGTCGGTGTCGCCGCAGACGGTGTCCCTTTGAGGCAGAAGGCCGCCTGCCCCACCGAGGCCGCTGTCGGTTTTGGAGCATCGCACCTGTTTTTGTTCCGTACCCAGTTCGGACGTCCAAAACGACGTCGGGTGTGCGGGTGTTTGGGCTCCCAGGGCCCTTCCCAGGCCCCAGGATTGTTCAGGAGGGGAAAAAACACGCAGACACAATTGATCGTCGATTCCCCAGAAAATATGGGAAGATACGGGAAGGGTGCGGGGAAGACAAAAACCCAGAAAATATGGAAACATATGGTGAATCCTTTTATTTGTGTCTATTTATTTGTGTGTCCCAGGGCCCCTTCAATTGTCCAATAACGACTCGGGACGAGGAGCTGTTCCCAGAGGAACGCCCCGGGGGCCAGGAACCGGTTCCACCAGGACCCGCTTCACTCGTTCCATCGCCGATCGCGATTTGCAAAACCTCGAGGCGGACAGCTCCGCTTCGCCGTCAGAAGCAAGCCAGCATCAGGCAGCGGCTCCAGGGAAGGACGGGGGCCCACATCGCAAAAAGCCGTGACGTCGCAGAGGGCTCGGATTTGCCACCGATTGTGCAGAATAAGCTAGATTTAGCCAGACCGTTCATACTTGTCGGAGCGTGCGGGAGCGGAAAATCAGATGACGGCTTTGCCACTGATTTTGCCCGCTTGTGATGCAGGCGCAGGGTCGGCGCAGCATTTGGAAGCGATCGAGCATTCCGCAACCCACCCAGCAGCACGCTTTCAAAGAAGCGTTTGGGAAGACATACCGTAGCTGTATGGTCTGTCGATTCCGGCTTGCTAGGATGAGGCCTGGGCCAGGGTAAGTGATTGGCCAGGCTAGGATAGCTGATTGGCCGAAAGAGAGTTTGAACAAGAGGAGTGCTCGAGGTTCGGGACATGAAGATGCTGAGGGTGAATGCCATGCCCGCCTGTGCTGTCGGTTGCTTGCACGGCTTCTTCCCCCGATCTCGCGGACGGCCTTGCTGCCCCGAGGGGGAACATCTTCCCCGCACTGCTCCCCGCTTGGCTAACCCACCGCACTCCCAAGTGCACCGCCCACGCCGCTGTGCACTGCCCCGCCCCGCCCTCCCCCCACCCTCTTAGTAGAAAATAGTAAAATGGCGTCGCCTCCGCTAGTTGTCCTTGCCGTGGGCCCCCGGACGTCTCCCCTGCCATATTCTTTCTTTCTTTTTTGTGTTCTCTCTCTCTCTCTCTCTCTCTCTCTCCCTCCCCCCCTTCCCCTCCTTCACCCGGTCGCCGCGAAGACAACATCCTCGGGTCCCTCCTCCCTCCATCTCGCTCGCCGTCGAAAGAAGAACTCGAGCACGGGTGGCCCAAGGCATCGTACCCAGTCGGTCTCGAGCTAGCCATGGAGCGCCCAGCCCATTGCCTTCTCGTGGCTTTTGGGGGGCTCCCACCACAGAACCGTTAGTAAGGCAGTTGTTCTCGGTGTGGGATGGCAAGAATGGGCGATTTCAAATTATCGTAATGTTGTATTTCTGTTTTTGCACTTCCAGAACACCCTCCTCGGCATCCCGTCCGCGCCGAGGGGCACGGGGGCTCCGAGCCCATCTAACTCCCACTCGGGCGACGGTGCGCGGCTGTGTTCGTCGTGGTGCTCTCCATGGACTCATCGGCGTCCCGTCCGCAACCGAGGGGCACGGGGGCTTCGAGCCCATCTATGTCCCACTCGGGCGGCGTTTTTTTCGCTGGAAGTGTGCGAAGTGTGTTCCTGGGAGCTTTGTTTCAGTGTTTCAACTTCCCCCGTATTTCGGTGGGTTGTATTGAAGGTGTGAACAGACATTCGTTGCTGACTGTGTTGTGGTCCTTTTGTATTCGCTGTTGGCGAGGCTGTCTGTGGAAGAGGCGATCCATCAGGGTTGCCCGATGACCAGTGGTGGTCTCACCCTGTACTGGGCCGTATCGAGCCGCACGCCTTTCAGCTTAACCCTTGCCATGATTTGTGACGTTTTGCACCGCGGGCGTCGTCACTGTCTGGAAGGGCCTCTCCCTGGGGGCGGCGCGTGTTGCACCGAACTCGCTTCGCGACCGTCGTTGCTCACTCACGCTCGCCGTTGAGAAGAGGAGGCCCGAGGGAAACGGCTCCTGACAGGCCTCGGAAAATAGCGAACACTCATGCCTCATCCCTTTGTGAACGCTTCCCCCTCCCCCAGTGTTCAAAGTTGGCGGTGGGTCTGATGAGCTGCACCTCGACCGCGGTCTCCCCCGCGCGTGCCAACTTCGAGTTTGGGGGGCAGGGGGGGCGTTCACGAATTGTTTCCCTCTACCGGACGCCTTGCTGTCCTCGGCCTCCAGGGGCCCCATTTTCTTTCCCGGGCCTCTGGGCCGAACAAGGACGGCCCGGCATCGAGAGAGCCGGCCCTTGGGAGAAAGCTTGTCGGGCCAGGGCCCCTGAGACCAGGATAGCGCAGACCAGGACGCTGCCAAACCCGCTTGGAGAAAACGAAGAATAGGGGATTGATTGTCACAGCTGCAATCGTTGGGTGCGCCCGTGTCCTGGTGTGCCAGCGTTCCCGTTTCCCGAAACCTTATTGGGCATAGGCCGCAGTTTTCCTCGGGGCTTCTTTTTCCATCGCCCCACCCTCCGCATGGGAGTGGAACCAGGCGCGTGGACCTTTTCACGGGAGGTGTCCCCTCTCCCGTTATTGCAGTCCTCCAATTCCCCATCATCCCTCTCCCTCTTCATCCCCCTCCCCATCCCTGACCGCGTCTTCCTCGATCTCCCCTTCCTCTTCATATTGCTTCTCCTCATCGTTATCGTTTCCTTTCTTGCTCCTTCCTCTCACCTCCCCCGATATTGTCCTCGTCTTCCGCCTTTTTCACTTCAGCGCCGTCAACGCGATCGCGTGCTGCAGCCAGGGTTTAGGCCTTGTCCGACGGCGCCATCGCCGGAACCCAGGACGGACGGCTGGGACGATCTCCGAGTCGAGCGAGCGGTTTCAGGATGATAAGGATGATCTCTTATGCCCTCTTTTATCATTTGGGGAGCGAGCAGATTTCTTGGATCGGCATTGGACGCCCCTCCTCACACAGTTGTCGCCCACAGGCGCGCGGAGCGCGCTGGTGAAAGGGCGCAAGGAGGGGTGCCCTTGAAGGCGGCCACGGGTTCTAAGCTGGATGAGCCCAGAGAGAATCGGATCGGTCGAGGGGGGGATGTTTAAAAACAAGTTCGCTCCAAATCGGTCCCCTGACTCCTGCCGGGGTCGAAGCTGACCGGTTTCTCGAGTCGCGTCCAGCCGTGGCGCTGATGGAGGGGGCCGTTGCTCACTCCTGTGTCTGCTGGCCGGAACCAGTGCTGGGCCACCTCAGACCCGCAGCCGGCTCCACAAGGTGGCCCAGCGCCGACTTGAACATGTCCGCGCGGACCTCCGTTCTGCAACCGCCCAGCGGAGCGCACCCGGCGAGAGCCCCGCGCGGACGGCCTCCCGCGCCCACAGTCCGGTCGATGATCCGACGGTTCGCCGCGCATGCCCGCGCGCAGTTGCGCCTCACCGGCCGTAACGATGGCCATGCCGCCGATGGCCGTGCCGCCGATGGGCGGCGTGACGCCCATGTCTATCTGCGGCGTGGCGGGTGCGGCGGGCGCTGCGGTGGGCGCGGCGGGCGCGGGCGTGGCGGGCGCCGAGGCGGCGCTCGACGCGGAGGCTATTCCATCCCTTCTCTTTCCCTCCCTGCTCCAGCAGTGAGCGGGGTGGGGGGGTGCAGGGGGACAAGGGGGACTTTCATCAGCGATCCCTTGGGGGCTGGGCCAATGCCGCTACCCGATTCCTCAGAGGTTGACAAGGTACCGGTACCGCTACCCTTCCCTTGTCACCACGGTTGGGTTCGCCGCGAGCTCCTGGTGAGAGCGCACCCCAGGAGAGGTCCGCAGAGTAGTTTTTGTTCGGTACCTTCTGGGTTCCCAAGTCAAGTCTCGTTGGCAAGACTCGTGTTCTGCCCGAAGGTCACCCTCCCTCACGCCATAGTGTAACAGGGGCCAATGGGGAAAGGGGACTTTCATCAGCGATCCCGTGCGGGCCTGACCGGCGGGTGCCCGGCTACCACGTGCCCAACGGAAAAGGTGGCCGCGGCCTTTGCGGAAGGCGCGGGAGGACAGGAGAGCATGAGCATGAGCATGACCGTGGGGCGCCCATCCACGATCACACTCTCGATTGCAGCAC